AACTTTTGAGCCATAAAAATATCATACTCAGAATCAGGATAAAAGACTGAGTCGACTGATGTATTACCCTCATAATAGACAGTTTTCTCCAAACTTTAAATCCAAAAAGTTTCCGAAACTTTTTCTTAATAAGTCATGACTGTAGCCCACAAAATTCTGATCAAAATGAGACATCCTCCAGCTGTACGCGAGCTTTCTTTGCAAAGTTATAGAATTTACAAGAAAAGCCATAAATGTTCATTGTCAGCTCAGAGGTATAGAGAGAAAAAGAAATTTACGGCTTTTCTTGTAAATTCTATAACTCCGCAATCAACGTGAAAGTAGCGGAATCGACAGAGGGAGCTACAACTTATGTGAATATGTTAAATTCGGTAGAAGATTTTGTCCAAATATAGACTATAGATTTATCTATCTTTAACAGAGTGTTTCGAAAAACTCTTCAGTTTTAACAAAATTCGAATGTTTTTTTTTTCATTGTTTTAATGTTTCGAAAGTATGTTTTTCAGATTCAGCATTAAAAATAGACTGTAAGAATGATGCTTGCTGGCAAAGGCCTATTAAAGATGGGCGTTTTGTACTTCCCGTGTAGATAGTCCATAAATAGTTTTGCAAACCTATCTAGTTTTTTTGTGAAGAGACGAAGCCGATCTTTTTATTCAGAAAATATTTTGAACTTATCGCCTGTTTTTATATTGCTTTGTTACTGAGGAAATTCACTTTTTCTAAATCAAGGGTGAAAAGCTGGGAATTCCGTTGGCACATTGCAATTCTCTTCATCAAAAATCACATTTTATGCAATAAAAATATCATATTCGGAATCAGTGTCAAAAACTGAGTCGAATGATGTGCTTTTTTTATCTTTTTAGACCATCTTAATTTTTTTGAATTTTCACGTCGGAAAGTGACTGAGATTTTTACCAAAAAATACACGTTACAGCAGAACAAATCCGAAAAGTGATTGAATAGCTATAAGAGTTGTCAACTTTATTTCCAACCCCTGAAGCAGTGTAGAATTATTTCATAAGAATAATTGAAAACCTGGTCTCTGACAAATCATCCCTCAAAATCAGATCTCTGGATGCGATTAGAACATTTGGGAAACTTTGTACTATTCTTCTCTTTCTTACTAAATACAGTTTATATTAACATTTGGGAAACAATATAAAACAGAGCAAACGTTTCTGAACAAAATGAAAGGTCTGGCTACAACATTTATTCATTAAACTGCACTCAAGTTAGGAAAAATATAGGAAATATCTAGAGTGCTAAAATCAGCAAAATCAATGGGAAATCACCAAAAAACTGCTTTCATGACCTTTCGTAACTTGAATTTAGCTCAATGTTATTAAAAATAATATAGGTAGATTCGCGTGGAAAAGTTTAGTAGATATCTTTAGTAGACCCTAAAAGTTCTCCACTCACGGTTCACGCCAAATTGCATAGACTCAATTCCTTGACTGTCTGTCCATTGAAAAGTCAAAAGTCTTGGAATGGGAGGGGTAAAAGATGGACATATTAGGGACTTTTTCTGCTCCTAGAGTCAACCTGTTGCACTATTGCTAACAAAAGTAGAAGAATTGTATGATGCTTGTGAGCAAAACAACATTGAACTGGTTCAACATTATCTTCCATCGGAAAACATTATCATAATCATCAATCAGCTTCATCCAAAAACAGAGAATACAGCTTTACATATTGCTTCATACATGGGTCATAATAAAATTGTAAAATTGTTGTTAGAATACGGTGCGTCACGTTGTTCAATAAAAAATAAAGATGATTTAACGCCGTTTGAAGTAGCTCGTACGCAAGAGACAAAAACCATATTTGAACATATAGTTGGTAAATCTGATCGTAAAGACGATATCAAATGGGTACTTGTTAGTCCTGGTATAGCAAAGAAACGTGATCAATTTAGAAAAAATAAGATTTCTTAAAGAGATTTGATCATTGTTCAACAAGACATCTCATAGTTGAAATAATAGAATACTACCTGAAAGGTTATCTAGTTGAAAAAGAAGGGTTTTCGATGAACCATCTCAAATTTATTGAAGATTCGTTTAATCAGGACATTCAAAAACAGAATATCATTTATTATTTTATTCAAGCTTATACAGCACCGTCAACACGTTTCTTTAAGATTCTTAATGAACATTTAGCGCGTTATATTATAGATAATTTTGATGATTTTGATCCTAAAAAATATAATCATGGACTTGTAAATTGTTTAGTATATTAATGACAGAAAATGATTTTTGTCCATATGCAGTTGGTGGTAAAATAATGAATTTAACATTTTTATCGACATCAAAAAGACTAGAAATGGCTGAAATATTTTCCGGTAAAGGAGAATTACTTAAATCACTAAAACATAGCAACAACACATGTATTCAACAACAACCGACACTGATTCGATATACAATTAAAAATCATCATACAGCACTTGATATTGAAAATATATCGAAAATACCTGATGAAAAAGAAGTTTTAATTCCACCATTTGCTTTGTTTAAAGTTATTTATGTTGAACGAAATAATGCATCTTGTTATAATGAAATACACTTAGAAGAATGTGATGAGTCTATATGTAAAACCCTAAGAACCCACTTATGTATTTGCATAACATTGGCAATATGTGCACTAGTACTGATATTGCTGACGATCATCCTCACAATCAGATATACTCGTCAGCAGTCGCTTGATGGTGAGTATCTTACAGGAGTTCTTGCAGTCCATTTTACACATAGTATTAATCCGAGAAAATTCCACAATATGCGTCTTGTAGCTCTTGTCGAATTACATGTACTCTCATATTTTTTCAAAAAAATCATGTGGAACATAAGCATTGGTGATCGCGACAGCTTTACTCTTCACTCATCTCACTTGAGGTGAAAGGTAAAATCTATCTTGAAAAATTTGCTTTCTGGGAAATCTTGAGTAAGCGCAGTGATGTACTGTATGGTTCCAGCAACTCGTTGAGAATGAAGAGACGCTAACGCAACACGCATGCACCAAATTACAGCAGGTTGCTCTCCAGAAAACCGTTCGTGCATGGCTCCGCAACAACGTAAAAACACTTTTTCGCATTAAATGGTAACAGCCAGTACTTCAACCAAGTATAAACCCTGTCTGGATCTACATTAATGACGGCAGCTGCAACTGTGATGCTATTAGTAAGTAACGGAATCACAGCTGCAAAGTAGCCTTGATAGGCTGCTCTCCAGAAAACCTTTCAAAAACCATCGGCGCAAGGCTAAATCATATAGATTCTGAAAGTAGACATTTCAGGCTGTCTCTCTATGTGCTTATCTCAAAATCGATTTTTTGACTCAAAACCGTTATTTTTGAGAGAATCCCCTTAAGCTCTATCAAATAGTCATATTCCGAAAAAATGTTAAAGTGTATAACAAAACAAAAATTGAACTTTTCATTGTGTCAGTCATGTGAAGAGTGATATGATGATTTTTTGTTCCATATGATTTTTTGAAAAAAATATGAGACTATATGTAACTCTGCTTTGCTTCTGTATGAAACGGACGGAGCAGAAAGTGTCACACAGTTAATTAGAAATATATTCAGTCTTATTGATTTTTTTCAGATGGTCTATTTAGTCGAAAGACATTCGATTATATATTTAATGAACTTGACAAAAATACATCCGATCGTCGTTGGAATGCATTTTTAATAGTCAATGAAAAAATGAAATGGAAACCAATAAATAAAGAAGACGTAGCAACATTTTTTGCTCATGTTCACCGTCAAAAAACTGGTTTAAAATTTTTAGCACTCAAATGTGATGAAACACGAACCTGTAATTATACTCAGAAACATCCATGGTGCAATGATTATGTGCAACCAATGGTTGGTAGACAATATTACGGTCGAGGTTGGATTCAGCTCTGGAGTCATTGTAATTATTATAATGCTAGTCAAGCATTAAGCATTGATCTACTCTCAAATCCCGATTTAGTTAGTCAAAATGAAGTGATTGCAAGCCAAGTTGCTATGTGGTATTGGAAAGCATATGGTATGAGAGAATATGCAGCTAAGGGACAATTTAATGAAACAACAAAACTATTGACTCCAAATGAATGTCCAAAAGTAAATCGGATTGATCAATATACGAGAGTTCAAACATATCTACGTGTACGTCAATGTTACGGACTGCAAACTTCCATAGGTGACAGTTTGTACTGTTAGAATTATACTTTTTCTCTACTTTTAATAAGAAAATGAAAGTAGAAGTGTATAAAAGTAATTGAGCAGCTTTAAGCGAAAACTGGCTAGTTTATGTATTTCAAGTAGCTCAGCAGGCAATTTATTCTACTGGCGTAAGACCCATGAAAAGAATGTGTTGTTAAATTCCGAGATGACCACTGTATGTGAGAGAGTTAACCAAAATTATGGTGTGTATCCTCTTATAATTTAAGTAACGGAATCACAGCTGCAAAGTAGCCTTGATTTAATGATATATCATCCGCAAATAGTCGCTAAATTTCAGCCTCCTCCTCTGCGAAAGTCTTTTTCCTTTATTCTGTTGCTTCGTCAAAAAAAGTATGAAAACAATTTTAGTTTATAACATATATATGTATTCATCGTCTCGCATGCTGTTCTTGTGCAGTAAAAGAATTCATTATCTGTTATTAAAAGCGAGGAAGGAGTGATACTTGAAGTACGTTCCTGTATGCAGGGCCGTAAGAAGGGCGAATTTTCAAAATACTTTATTTTCTGACCGTTTTTTCATTTTCGCTCTGAAAAGAATATTGCCATGGTAATCAGCGTGCTCGATTACGTATAATCTACATAATCAAATAAGAGGAAACATTCACATGAAAAGTTTAAATTAGAAGCCTATATTTTATAGAAAGTAAGACTAATGATTTTATAGCAGCAAATAACATTATTTATTTTATTTTATTTATTTTCCTGTTCTTTTTTCTCTGTCATCAGTATAATGGATGAACTCTATTTGACCTGTGCACAACAGAGTACTAATTTTATTTTGCTTCCCTATTCTTTTATTTTTTTCTCTTAAAGTATCTTTGTAAGCACTGCTACACGTCAAGTTATCAACAGCATTACATCCAGAATCTTTTTACTTCCTCGCTCGCAATGTTTAATCAGTCTTTTGACGAGAATATCAAATGTTTTAGCGGTGTATTTTCATCTATTATTATTATTCCAACAATTTCATTTATCTTATTTGATTTCGTAGCCTTTGAACTTCACGAAGACGGAAAAAAATATTGAAAACAGTGTCAAATTCTTATAAATAGGATAAATCATATGTATTTAATTCGTGTTGGACGGCGTTGTTTTCCC